GTTACATAGCCATACATAAAAAAAAAATAAAAAAAAAAAAGTATTCCGACGAATTGATAACCTCCTCCTTTTTTGAAGTCGGTTAAAAATATGCCGATTCAAACGGAAAATGCTGTTTTAAAGTGAACAAAGTTATACTCACTTATATGATCGAACAGCAGGGAAGCAATGAAGGAAAAACAACTTATGGAGACGACATCACCGATAGATGCCGCTAACGGTGTTGCCAAGTTATCGGGATTCAAATTAAATCTCTCAGATAATAATATCACAGCCACTAATACAAAATCTGTAATGAATAAGAAAATAAATGAAGGTGGATTAATGTGAAACAAGAAATTTAATAACGTTTTTATTTTGATACATATTTTAAATAAATTTTTTAGTAGATTTCCAACAAACTTATGTACCTAAAACAAAGCACGATGAGGTCGCCGTAAACATGGCGGATGCCGTCAGCAGCATAACATGTTCGAAATAGAAATTGCCATCCATCGCCGCACCCACACCAGTAGCAAACATAGCGACCAAAAATGAGGCGACCGTCGCTTGTACTTGCACCAATGCAATATTGCCGACAATCATTTTGATGACTTCCTTACGCGTGGTCATATTGCCCAAATTGACCTGTGTCGATAGACGTGATGCGAGGCACATATCGAGATTGCCCTTGAGGCCAAGCAATGCCGGCACGAGAATGAATAGTTCGGTGATCTCTTTGAAGACACGCCATTTCTATGCAAAGAATGTGAGTGGAATAAAGAATTAAAATTATATATGCATATGTAGGAGATGCATATGAAATACAAAAATTGTACAACAAAATCAAACAACTTATGTATGTATGTATGTTTGTATATGTTGTAAGCAAATTAATCAAAATGTAAAACACGTAATTGTCAAATTTAAACGCCACTTTAGTTGCATATCATTAGCCAATAAATATGTATGGTGCGAACAATCATTATAATTGAGGTATATATACTATATTCTATTTTGACATGTGTAATTGAATTACATATTTATTTACATTGCAATTTCATTAGTTACTTAAAAAACAAGTAAATAAAAATAAAGTTGTGAATAAGTAATTCTTTAAGAATAACCTTGTTTGTCATGTTAATAGCAGTAATTTTATCTAATCATAGCAGATACTACAAAATACTTTTGTTTATTTATAATTTTTTAATCTCGAAAATGGAAAACACACTCAATTTCTTGTGATCAGTTGTCTTTTTAGCCACTTCAGTTAAAGACGCCATTTGATATCATGACATCAGGCTGACAAGTGCTTTTTGACATTGCCTAGCACTACTTAAAATGGCTGACCATAAGAAACACTCACGTGGGCTCATGAGCTTATCGATGATCTAAGACGAAAACATTTCTCTAGTGACAACTAGTTTTTGTTTAAGTTTTTTTTTATATTATTTATTTTGAGTCACTTTAGCGTCGTTACAGTGTAATTTTCAACAAAAAATTGTTTTAATAACACTGGTTTACAGCAAAAATATTCTATGGATGCCACTATCTAATTCCCATGTAGAATTCCTCGGTGATTCCGAAATTCGAGATCATTTTTTTCTATGGATAACTTTTTGAGATATTTGCAATTTAACGTTACTCAGCTTTAAAAAATACGTATATCTTACGAACCAATTAAATAATGGTTACACGGGGAATGAAAGAAAATAAAATTCTCCATAAACTGTATATATATCACCTTTTGATAGCCCTGATAGTTTCTGAGAAATTAATTTAATCATTTCTGACACCTCTTCTTTACGATGCAAACACTCTACCTACTCAGGTGTAGGTACGTGGCGTATGACAAACACTCCTTTCTGCTGATATTTCATACAAAAAATCCTTGCACATTTTCAGTTGGCCAATCATTAACTTGTTATTTATATATCTATTTTATTCATTGGTAGCTTAGTTTTTTTTCTAAAGGAACAGGCTTTAACACAAGTGCAAATTATTTACACAGAAGCTGTAATTTTTTGACTTTTTTCCCTGTTAAAGTTAGATTTTTTTGCATTTTTCCATCAAAAAACAACAACAACATCTGGAATGATTAATTAATTTCTCAGAAACTATCAGGGCTATCGAAAAGTAATCTATATGCGGTTTATGGAGAATTTTATTTTCTATGTATCATTTGCCGTACCTCGTATTACGATTATTTAATTGGTTCGTAAGATATACCTGATTAATTAGAACCACTCTTTTTTTAAGCTGAATAGTGTACTTAAAGATCAAAGATGACAGCCTATTATTTTGGTGAAAGAAAACATCTGCAAGGCTACATAACCTCAAATATGGGGAAAAACGGTGTTTTTTGCACTTTTAGGTTAGGATATCTCGAAAACCAGAGCTGATAGAGCAATTCTGAGGCTAGGTTTGGATTCAGCGCATCATAAACCGTCGGAAATATATAGTCTGGTTTCTGGGTCTGAATGTTGGTTAAATTTTGTCGGCCTGTGTAATCTGTCATTCTGATTCATCTATCGCTGGGTTTACGTTAAAGCCATGAAAACATATAACATACCACCTTTTGTTTGCAAAATGGGGAGCTAAATTCATTTGTGCGGCATTTTCTCTTACTCTCGTCTTCTCTTTGTGCTTCTTGTATTAGCTCTGATCCAGTACTCAATGAACTTACAGGTTTTTACACGAACTTGCAGTTATCAACGGTCCCAGTTAAAATCATTTCAGTATTTTTTTTAAATTTCGCCTTGCTTTTTTATTAATAGACTACTAAACCTATGCCTAAAACCATCTACAAATATCAAAAACAGTTTACCAAATGAGTTCATACATATGTATGTATACACATAGGTACAAAGCCGTATGCATGGCCGGAGTTTGCACAATCGGAAGTAATAATCAATCGCACCGCATTTCCTCTTACTCTGCATATGCCTAAATGTATGCAACCATTTGCAATAGCACAGGGCACTTCTAATGAAATTAAAAATTTGCTGCTGCAATACACATGCTTAGCCCTTCAAAATTTTCTGCTGGGGTATGCGTTACAGCTTCTCAAATTTTACCCCTACCGAAACCAAAGATGTATAAACATCAAAAATTGTTTACCCTTTTTATTTATATTCATTTTTATTGCAACACAGCAACAAAATTTGAAAGGTCTTTTAAAATTTTATGTTATTATTATTTTAAAACATATTAAAACATCTTGTGATTTTTTTAATATTTTCGATGGGCCATGTAAATAAAAAAAATATTTATTTTTCTTATAATTGCGGACCTTACACTTTAACCGTTACTTAACCTTCCGCTTTGAATATTCTACATTCGTACGACTTAACCGGCCTAGCTGATCGGAATTTATACGAATGCAAAACAAATAACATTTTAGGCAAAACTGCGTATGTACATCTAGGTACATTTTTATCAAAACGGCAACACTGTCCAGGACTATTAATTCAACGTGTTCGAACCAATTTTTTAAATACACAACATAGCAAATATGTTTTACACTAATCAAAACTCAGTGAAATGCAATGGGTCCTAGAATGACCCGAAGGGCAATTAATGAGTATTGTAACAAATAATTTGAAATTTTTTTAAAAAGAAATTTAAGCTTAAAGACGCTTCGGGTCACAAAATGTATACATATATATACAAATTTTTGCTCATATACATATACATATACATATGTACAAACTGGGGATTTGTTTGGGAAGGAATTAATTTCCAGATAAAATATACTTTTATATTAAAGGGACTTGTGCGCACTAATAACTTCCCTTCCGCACGGGATTGATTGGCATCCACCGATGCGTGCTTATTATGGCTCTATTAAATACATCGTCGTTTAAAGTAGAAAACCGCGTACCGTCATTCTGCTACACCGCGTAACTGACATTTGCTACCAAAAATTGGATTTGCAAGTTCTTGGCTAAATCCTTATCCATTCTTCCTGAAATATACTAGCCAGAAATTTCAATTGCGTTATAAAAAAGAGATTCATTTTGAAATATGAGTGTTTTTACTCTCTAGAAAATAAGTTATGCAACCTCCCATACACGGTTTTGCATAATCGTGATACGCGGGTTTGCATTTTGTTGATACGCGGTTTTGTACTTTAAACGACGATATGTACATACATAGGTACATATTAGGAATGTTAATCCCGGGATCCCGGACTTTTTAAGGTCTCGAAAATCCCGGGATTCATATCAAGTAACCCCGGGATTTTCGGGATTCGTAATTTGCACTGATGGAAACAATANATAACAAGTAACCCCGGGATTTTCGGGATTCGTAATTTGCACTGATGGAAACAATAGACGCTCCTTTTCTTGACCAGTATTGGCTATATTTCTTTTTTTATTTAATAATTAATATTTTTTTATAAATGTGTAGCTCATTATACATATAACACCGCGCTATAGTAAATTTAATACACAAATATCAATATATTCGCGAAACTATGGGCCAAATAATAAATAAATAAATAATAAATAAATAAATAACAAATAAACCAGTAATTCAAATATGATTTAAAAAATTCAGAGAAATGTGCTTAGAGAAAAAGTATGGTTATAAAATTTATGAGGAAAGCCTGTAGAATTTAAACAGATTCAAGTTTCTGGTGCAGAAGGGCTGGTAAATATTGAAAATGTTAGTTTATAATTTGATCCTTTAAATTTCGCAACATTTGTTTTTGAAAAAATTATATGCTAAGGGCTTATATAAACTCGATAATATCCTCGANGAAAATGTTAGTTTATAATTTGATCCTTTAAATTTCGCAACATTTGTTTTGTTGAAAAAATTATATGCTAAGGGCTTATATAAACTCGATAATATCCTCGAATTTCGTTCTTCTAAATTTGTCAGCTTAAAAATTACCTATTCGTCCTTGTGAATCCAAAAAAAATAAATTTTTTAGATTCTAAAGAAATTTTCTATTACATTTGTTTTTGTTCTACATTGCATTGAATTTATTTAATAATTTTTGGAATTTTTCATATCTTTCCTTCAAAATAAATCCAGCGGTCAGAGAGAAAAATTAAAAACGCCACTTTAAATAAAAAAGTAGGTTTCAAAACCATTTATTTATTATTTGTTTCGTGGTAGGAAACCTTCTCAAACAACATAGAAGCAATTTTTTCGATTCAAGTTGTAGAAAAGTAATGAATATCTAAATCCCGGGATCCCGGGATTGTAACAACGCCACCCCGAAAATCCCGGGATCGGAAGAAGCCGAAAAAGTAACATACCTAGTACATATATTCCATGTACATTATTGAAGCGAAAGCTAATTATTTATTGAAAAGACAAACAAAATTGATGAGCAATAACGAACTTCAAAGAATTTCGGTGGTAAAGGCAAGCCTCCGCACAAGGGTATGACTTCCAGTATTGGGAGCTAAAAACGATGAACTTTTCTGTTATCATATATACTTGACTTTGCGAAATGCAACCAGCAAATCTTATTGCCAACTTTTATTTGTTGGCAGTGAAATGTCTATTTGGAATTTAATTTACAGATATTTATTAGTCTACATATACATATATACATAGTACAAACCAGGGACGTTGCGAATATTTGCATTCACATTCGTTATGCGAATGATTCGCATCATTGTACACATTCGCATTCGCATCAAAAGATACGAATGTTTTGCGTATGGGAATGTGTACATGGGCAGAGAGTCCACTCTAACAATGTTGAAATGGCTGTAAGTCTGTCTAACCAGGGAG